TAGCCTACGGTTTACCTGGCAGTTCTATTTGACGATATATATATATATATATATTTATTTGACGATATATATATATATATATCGTCAAATAGAACTGCCCGGTAAACCGTAGGCAGAGAGGGAGAAGAGGACAACAAACGTATATATATTGAAACTCCGATGAAACAGTTTGTCACAAACGCGAGCCCCTCGTTTGTTGTCCTCTTCTCCTTCTCTCTCTGCCTGCGGTTTTGCCCGGTAAACCATAGGCAGAGAGGGAGAAGAGGACAACGAACAAATGAGGGGCTGGTTTGTGACAAACTGTTTTGTCGGAGTTTGACCGACTCGTCACATTTGTCACAAACGAGCTCTCCCTCGTTTGTTATCCTCTTCTCCTCTCCCTCTCTGTGTATAGTTTACCGGGCAGTTGTGTGTGAAGATGGGCCTCACTGCACTACTCTCGACATGCACAAAAAACAAAAATAATGCCCGTGCATTGTTCCATATTCTAGCGGAATATTCACTCTCGTCTTGCACATTTCGAGAGTAGTGCAGCAAGGCCCGATATATAGACTCGAACGCTGGTGTGTATTTCGACGGTTCAGGTGTGTACCTACTGAGCTGGGCTTGCTTTTTTTTTGTTTTTTTGTTCTTTTTTGTTTTTGTTTTCCGTCCTTGTTTTGTTTTCTTGCAGTCTGGAAAAATTGCGAGGAAGAGGTCAGTGCGAGCGGCTACGGCTTCCGGCAATGATGGTGCTGATACAAAGGATGTGAGTTTGCTTCTCCTCTGATGCGTGACATGTCAACGACATGTCAGCAAATTGCCCTTTTGGGAAAGGGGTAGTTGTTTATTAAACTGTATTTACAAAAAAAAAAGAAAAAGAAAAAAAAATGGTGGTGGTGGTGGTGGTGGTGGTAGTAGTGGGCCACGGAGTCAAGGACCTAGTTTCACTGCTAGGCAATTATGGAAATGGCGAGTGTATCTTGCCGTAGAATGTGTCCAAATACATCTGTCAGTTTCACGTGGGCGGAGTGGTTTTGAAGGAGGTCCTACGACCATGCACTCACATCGTCAGGGTCAGGGCGGAGGTGCCACTAGCAAACAGGAGTGGATGGAATGGCCGAATTTGGACGTGTTTCTGGAGAGGTTCAGAAAATTGCCAGTGATCTGCTTTTCTGCATCTCTGCTTAAAACCCATCCAGATCCGGGCGTGCAATCCAATCCTCGTTGCTAGGTTGGACTGCACCCCAGGACTTTCAGGTACGTTGTACCTGGTTAAACTGCAGAAAGAAAGAAATAAGATTTCTGGATCACCATCAATGATCTCAAGCTAGCTTTCGAACCCAGGCGCCCGGCCAGGCGAACCCCCCCCCCCCCCC